AAAGAGACAAAAACCGATCCTCTAAAGCGGCTACGTTTTGGTAGCTTCCGAAACCTGGGAGATTCGGTCAACGACTTGACGGCGGCGTAAGGATCATATAACTCCGACAATGACTGTTTTCTCCGGCAAACAAGTAGTTCCGATGGATTACGAAGCCGAGGTTTCACAGCGTCTCCTAGAAGCCATCCTTGACGGAGATTTCAAAACGGTGTCGGATTGCGTCTCCGATCCGCTCGTCGACGTGAATTTCGTCGGCGCCGTTAGCTTAAAGACGAGGAGGAGCGAGGTTTTGCTCCGTGACGAATCGCCCAGCGAAATCCGTGTCGAGTACGAGGAATTCAAAACTGATGTAACGGCGTTATTCCTCGCCGTTAATTTCGGAAACGTTACTCTCGTGAAGCAATTACTGGTAAAATTTATTCAATTCGATTTTTCCTATGAAAACGAGATCGTAACAAATATTTAGCCGTTTTTTAGTAACAAATCTGCAATTAATTAATACTACCATTAACCGTTACTTTCATGATAGATACACGAAACTTAATTAAGCAAATCAGTTTTAGGATTTTAGCATATACACATTTGATTTGAATTATCTTTTTGTTTAATGTTTGCGTATTTTTTGATTACTGATTTTCACATTTCGTGGATTTTCCGCAACTTTATTGTCTCTTGAATTAAAGACACAAATCTGTGTCTGTCTCTCTCAGTCTACTTTACCTTTTTCTTCTTTTTTTCGAAATTCAAATTTCGGACTCTGTTTATTTCTTCTCTCTGCTTTTTCAACGAAAAATAAATATTCCTGTAAATTCTCAGTTCGAATTTGCTTTTAGTTTAATCAGGAAGAACAAATTCAGTTCCGTGTAGAATTTTTGATTGTTTTCATTACTCGTATTTGTTAGTAATACTTAATTAGCTCAACCATTTTTGTGTGTTTAAAATGTTAATCGGATTCCGTGCGAGTTTTTATTTATTCATTCATAAATCTGTTGACTAAGTTCAATCTCATTGGTGGTGAAATGGTGATGGTAGGAATCTTCCAAGTTGCAAAAAAATGTTAAAAAAGAAAAAGAAAAATTGCATCTTTTACAGAGTCTAATTAGGCGGACATTATTTTCCAATTTTGAAGTCCCACAACTTTTTCCTTTTCTGCATCGTCATAAAATTTGCTTTTTTACTTATCTTAATTACATTTAATATCCCTAAATGATGTATTGGAAAAATAAACTTGAATATGGATTGTTGATAGATATTTTGAGAGACACAGAGTTTCCAAAGCTCACTATTTTGTTTGCAGTGATAATTGAGTTTGATTTGATTCTCTTGTTTCTTGAAAGGAACTGATGATATTTAGTACGACAAAAAAGTGTTGAGACTGCACCATGTAGCTTGTTGTTTAAACAGAACCTGAAGGCCCCTACCATATGGTCTTGTCACTTGTCATTGGATGCATCTGGAATATACACTAATACTATATTTTGCATACTTCTTCTCTTTGATCAAGCCATGCTCCTTTGCGTCAGAATTGTTCCTTCATGTTTTCATATAGATCCATTTCAATTATTCACGTTGCATTATTGTATAACTTACTATTATACACACAGTTTTTTCTCTGTCTTCTTCTGTGTTCTGGTTTTCACCCCACGTGGAGTACTTGGATTTAGCAGTATCTAGCTTAGTAAAATACTGTATAATCTTTACAGTGATCTAAACTTTCTTGCTCAATATTATATTACAGAACAATGGAGCTGATGTGAACCAGAAGCTCTTCAGGGGTTTTGCAACAACTGTAGCTGTAAGAGAAGGTCATTTCGAGGTACTTGAGATTCTACTCAAAGCTGGTGCTTCTCAGCCTGCTTGTGAGGATGCTCTAGTGGGGGCGAGCTTTTACGGACGCTCGAGCTGCGCTGAGCTGCTCATGGGAACTGATTTTATTCGTCCTCAGGTCGCTGTTCACGCTCTAGCCACTGCTTGTTGCAGAGGTTTTGTTGATGTCGTAGGGATCTTGCTCAAAGTAAGTTCTTCAATCTTGTGTTGCTAATAACTGACTACTTAAGAGCTGTTCAATAGGGATCTTACAGAAGACAATTTCTATGTTTTTGCTTCATTACAGTGCGGAGTGAATGCTAATTCAACCGATAGGCTTCTGCTTCAATCTTCAAAACCTTCTCTTTACACAAATGTGGACTGTACAGCTCTTGTTGCTGCCATTGTCAATAGGCAAGTCTCAGCAGTGCGCGTGCTACTACAGGTAATTACTGGCTCTATAAAACTAAAAACTTGGTTCTTGCAAAGAGAGTATGAATCTAAGACATCTAAGCTGTTCTTTAAATGATTTGAACAGGCTGGTGTCAAGACAGATATCATGGTTAGGCTTGGAGCATGGTCATGGGACACTAACACTGGAGAAGAGTTCCGTGTGGGAGCTGGAGTGGCTGAGCCTTACCCTTTAACCTGGTGTGCTGTAGAATACTTTGAAACCAGTGGCGATATTTTGCGTTTGCTGCTCAAAGTCCAATCTCCAAATGCTCCTCACAATGGTCGGACTCTGCTCCACCATGCTGTCCTCTGCGGTAACCAGGCAGCCGTCAAAGTCCTCCTTAACTGTGGTGCCGATCCAGAAATTCCTATCAGAACTTCACGAGGCATTGAACTCCAACCGATTCATATTGCTGCACGTTACGGATCAGTGGAGATCATACAAGAACTCGTTGGCTTTGGCTGCGATATAAACTCAAAGACTGATGCTGGGAACACGGCCTTGTTGGTCTCAACAAGACAGAAACATTCAGAGTGTGTAAAGGTTCTAGCCCTGGCTGGGGCTGATTTCGGCACAGTGAACAAGTTCGGCCATTCTGCTATTGCGATTGCTGAGTCAAACAAGTGGTCTCTCGGATTAGAACGAGTAATTCTTGAACTTATCCGGTTCGGTGTGGTTCCACATTCAAGCAACGCTTCAGTTTTCTCGCCTTTGCTGTACGCGGCTCAAGCAGGAGATGCAGAGGCGCTTAAATCTCTTGTAAAAGCTAAAAACATCTTCCTTGACTACCAAGACGAGGAAGGCTTCTCAGCTGCAGCGCTAGCGGCCATGAAGGGCCACATCGAAGCATTCAGAGTCTTAGTCTACGCAGGAGCCGACGTGAAGCTATTCAACAATTCCGGCGACACAGTGGTTTCTCTGTCCGAGCAGAATGGTAATCGTGACGCGATCGAGAAGGTAATGCTCGAGTTTGCTCTCGAGAAAGACAACAGGAACATGGCGGGCGGATTCTATGCATTACACTGTGCTGCAAGGCGTGGAGATATCAAAGCAGTGAAGCTTTTGAATGGAAAAGGATATGGTCTGGATGTCCCGGATGGAGATGGCTACACACCGCTGATGCTTGCGGCCATAGAAGGCCATGGAAATATGTGTGAGTTCCTAATCTCCCGTGGCGCAAACTGTAATGCTAAGAACGGAAGAGGGGAAACATTGCTGGATATCGCTACTGGTAATGCGGAGAAGGTGATCCGTAATGAATTGTCTCGGAGGTTTGTGATAAAGGGAAGCAGTGTGATGAAACACACCAAGGGAGGGAAAGGGAAGAAGCATGGGAAAGGATTGAGAATGCTGGAATCAACTGGAGTACTAAGTTGGGGAAAATCGCGGAAGAGAAACGTTGTATGCAAGGAAGTAGAGATCGGGATGAGCCAGCGGTTTAGGAGAAACCGGAAGGGGAAAGGCGATGCAACGGTGGAGGACGAAGGGATTTTCCGGGTAGTGACTACGGAGAACAAGGAGATTCATTTTGTGTGTGAAGGTGGATTGGAGGGTGCAGAGATGTGGGTGAGGGGAATAAGACTTGTGACAAGAGAGGCTATTTGTGGGAGAACTCAGACTCAGAATTAGAGTGTTGTTTTGTATATAAAGAAGTTTTGAGAAATGGAGTTTTTGTTTTGAAGGTAGTGTGCATCTATTGTGTTGTGGGGGTGTTTATAGGCTTATAGCTGTTGGGTTGGATTATGAAGATTGGTTCAAATTCTAGGTTTGATATCTGCAGTATATTTGTGAAATAGCTCAATGGATTCGAGATTCGAGGGTTGCATATGAATGAAAACTAAAGACATTTTTTTCGGTCCTTACATGGATTCAGTCATAGATCAGCATGAAATTCCTGTCTCTTTTAAAACAACAAGATTTTTAAAAAGCATTACATCACACATGAAGTCAGAACTTTTGTTTACCAGTCACCAACGCAACAGGCAATAACCAGAAGAGAAACAGAGAAGCTTTGAAGCTCTAGTCGCTATTGTAACCATCATCATCGTTATCCTTATCTTCGTGGTCTTTCACCACTCGTTCTATGAACTGTCTTCGAACTCCAGCCATCACAGCTTCCCTCGAGGATTCATCGTCTCCTCCTTTGCCATCGTTAAGAACTGGCTCTGACTGACACAGAACTAAGGCTACACCTGCAAAAGCAGCAAACATGTTCAGACATCGTTTCCTTATGCTCTATGACCATTCTGCTGAAAGCATGACAAGATGCACATGTCGTCGCAAAAGTTCTCTTTAGATAAGACAGAGGCTAAAGATGAGACATGACATATTTATCAAACACAACTGGACACAGATTGAATCAGACATCACCAAAAAGACAAAGAAAGCTTCAAACTTACTCTCTGGGGTGCACCTACGGCCAAAGCTCTTCATGCCTACGTGGGTTCCTTTGACCGCGCCATGGTGATACACCAGCAAGGTAGGAAGATTGCAATCGGGGTAGTTCGGAATACAATCAGTGGATATTATCTTAACAAACTTTGTTGCCGGGTATCTGCTAGCCAATTCGTCTAGACAACCCAATAGCAAGCCACACTGTGCGAAACTATCAGAATTCAACAAGAAATGAACAAAATTTTAGTGTTTTAAGCATGTCATAACATTGGTTCTTCAAGTGCAATCATAATTCACCAACAGTTCATTACCCATCTTTGTAGAGGCATACAACAACCCAATCTTCAGCAGAAGCTTGCGTAACCTCCCGCACGAAATCAGATCCCGAGATGGGAGTCACTGTTCCATACCTTCTAACTTTAGCAGCTTCTCTCATCTCCGATAACCTCTTCTTCCTGTCAAAGCATCAAACACATTAACGCATGAAGAGCCATTGCACAAGAAGTTTAGCTGAAATAAGACACTATTTCTTCAGACAATACGAAAACAAAGGCATTTTATATCCAGATCACAAACGAATCGAGAAAGACTAGAGCTTGGTAATTTCATTCCACAACAGATCGGAGAAAATCGAATTCAGAATCCAGAATAAGCAAGGGTTCTCCAGGGTTGATTAAGATCGTAAATACAAAATCAGGATGTTCGATTCGATCTACGAACCTGTATTCTTCGAGGAAGCGATTATCCTCGAGATCTTTGTCGTCCTCAAGATCCTCAAGCTCCTCCTCTGTCTTCTCATCGAACCATGCCTGATCCTTAGGAGCTGAAGACTCGTCTTTTGCCGGAGTATAAGCCTCCGGTTTGAATACCGGAGCTTTCTCCGGGAGATTCCCCAATTTCCGCTGGATATCGTCCCATTGTGTCGACGTTCCTTCAACGTCCTTGTACACGAAATGATAATCCGCCATAGATTTCACCACCAAAAAACCTTCAAGCTTCTCTCCGCTAGATTATTACACAGAGAAAACCTTTGAATCTGAGAGAGAAGACACTCTGTGATCGCAATCTCGTTCCTTTTCTGGAAGACGATGGTAATGGCTTTCTTCTCCTAAATGGTCAGACCCGAATTTGGTCTAACTAAACCGACATATACCGAGATTATTGCTAATCTAATTCATACCGAACCAATTATTTCCGGTTTAAAAGACGGTTAGTAGTCGGTTTTATATCCCAAGAACCTTCTGAATCACTCGGAGGGTCTTCGATTATATATTGGGGGCGTATATATTTTATGGAGATGATCCAGAGATAATTAAACACAGTTAAGAAAATTTTTTGAGAGGGAGAAAGAAAGGCGATCGATTAGGGTTTTTGCTAGGTCTGAAGGATTCTACATGGTCGGAGTTATGAACTCGGTAGAGGCTGTGATTGCGTCAATCCAGGGTTTATCAGCGAGTTCTGGGGATTTATCTGCACTCCACGATCTTTTGAAAGGAGCTGAAGAATCGCTTCGAGCTGACTCGGATGTTAAACTCTCTACTCTTGAACAACTCGACCCATCGAAGCATTCTCTTGGTTACCTGTATATCCTGTGAGTTTATTCTTTCTTTTGATTTGATTGGCTTCTTGCTGGTATCTGATGATTTGGGTTAATGGAATTACTAGGTTTTGGGATAATCTGCTTTACATGTTTTTTTTTCTGGTTTTTTTTGGTGTGTTTATGGCTATGTTTGTAGAACTTGAGGTGTGTGATTGTTTGTTCCTTTTTATTGGATTTCTGATCTTTAAAATTTTGTATCGTTTTGATTGTTCCAGTGATGTTCTTACGAGTGGTCCAGTTTCGGAGGAGAAAGCTTCTGATGTGATTCTGTTAATTGCACGGTTCATTAACTCTTGTGATGCGGGCCAGATTCGTTTAGCGAGCGAGAAATGTAATCACCAAGACTTGAAAGGATTCTTTTCTGTTTTCCCTGTGTTCTTATGTTTAGGGATGAATGATGTTATTATTTTGATCTCGCAGTTGTATCTCTTTGTAAGAGATTGAAGGATAATGTTGTAAAGCTCAACGATCCCCTGCGAGGGGTAGCGTCACTGTTGACAGCTGTTTATAAGGTTCAGGCCTCCACCAAACGTTTGACTGCATTGCATCCAGATTGTCTTCAACTATGTTTGCAGGCAAAAAAGTATAAAGCTGGTTTCTCCATTCTTAGTGATGATATTTTGGAGGTCGATCAGCCAAGAGACTTTTTTCTCTATTGCTATTATGGGTACGCCAGTTTTCCTCATTGCTATCTGTTTTTGTAAGCTTTGATCATGGTTATATCAACGCATTAATCCATCCAGTTGAGTTTTTTTATTATTTTATAGTAGTTATAGATTCTTGTCCTTGATCCCTGTACTTTTGACAGGGGAATGATATGCATTGGGCTGAAGAAATTTCAGAAAGCATCGGAGCTTCTTTTCAATGTCAGGCATTCTATTTACCTATTCACATACTTTTTAGCCATCAGGGGCTTTTGTTTTAGTTTTAACTCAGTCGAAGTACTTATATCAGGCTGTGACTGCTCCTATGCATCTTGTCAATGCCATAGCCCTTGAGGCGTACAAAAAGTACATATTGGTGTCTCTCATTCTAAATGGGCAGGTAATGCTTGGATGTTTTGAGTAATGTTGGTTTTGCTAATTATATCCTGTGTCTGATTTTCACTTCAAACAGTGGTTTATCTTATGAGGTTATTCTTATAATCTTGTTTGATTTTTTTACTTGTGCAGTTTACTAACAGTCTCCCCAAGTGTGCTTCTACAGCAGCTCAGAGGAACCTCAAGACTTTGTGTATAGTAAGTTCGAACCCTATCCATTGTACATGTATCATTCTACCTGTGTTATTATTTCCTCATATTTCTTGCTCATTCCATGATTGTATTCTTCACTTTTGAGTGGAGGATTGTCCTTTTTTCACTTCAGTCCAAAGATTTTAGTTGCTTCGTACTGGATCCCAGCTAGATCTATTAACGGGCTTATGATTTTATTGTTACCCCTTTTCTCAGCATTACATTGAACTGGGTAATTGTTACAACGATGGGGGTATCGCTGAGCTAGAGGCATTGGTTGTGGCCAACAGCTCACATTTTGAAGCGGTAAATTTCCTCTAAACACTACTCATATTGTACTTTCTGTAACGATATTAAACTTCATTCACCACTGTAACTTGAACGGAATGCTATTTTTCAGGACACGAACCTTGGATTAGTTAAGCAAGCAGTGTCATCCCTTTACAAGCGAAACATTCTGAGATTGACTCAGAAGTACTTGACATTGTCGCTTGAAGATATAGCCAAGATGGTCAATCTTGCTAATGCTAAGGAGGCGGAAATGCATGTGCTTCAGATGGTACTATATCCTGTGTATCCCACTCTTGATTTTTGGAAACCAGCTTTTATATCTACAACTGGTATGTGACAACATCGTGTTTTCTTTCCAAACTTGCAGATCCAGGATGGTCAGATACATGCCCTTATCAACCAGAAAGATGGGATGGTCAGATTCTTGGAGGACCCTGAGCAGTACAAAACGAGTGAGATGATTGAGATCATGGATTCTGTTATCAAAAGGTATGTCTACGTACCATATACTTTTGGTGGCACGGAACCAAATGTTTTGAAAGTTGAACTCCTTAGGCCACCAAAAGAGAAACATCTATCCTCCTTAATTAGCACTTGGAATGAAATTGATGTAGAACGAGCTTTTGTGTTTATATGATTTTCAGGACGATTGGACTGTCGAAGAATCTCTTAGCCATGGATGATAGCTTATTATGTGACCCGTTATACTTGGGAAAGGTAACTTGATAGTATACCATATATCTCCATAGCCGCCTATGTTCTGTCCTCGAACCTGAGTTTGCTCGGACTAATAAACCATTGGTAACTTTTGTCAGGTTGGAAGGGAAAGACAAAGGTATGACTTTGGAGACGATTTTGATACTGTCCCTCAGAAGTTCTCCATGTAAACAGCAAAAGATCAAAAGGACCAAAAACCTTGGCTCAAACACAACTCGAGTGGTTAATCTAGACA